ATATGTCCCCACTGGGAAAGGACACGTGGAAGCTTGGGCCTGGTTTCTTTTAGAATTTATCCCACATGTCTTTTCCCTTTGCTGATTTTAATCTTATCCACTCACTCTAAGAAATCATAAGAGTATAACATCTTTCTCTGATTCCTCAGTCCTTCTAATAAACCATTCAGTCTAAGCAAGGTCTTAGGGACCTCCAACATAATAGTTAATAAATTTGAAGTCTGTTAAGACCTCCAAATTACCCTTCACTATAGATTATAACATTTTAATTGAGAAAACACTTTCTACAAATATATAGCTAAGAAAACACTACTAAATCATTTTTTCAGTTCTGTTTTTGTACTGAAATATTTCAGCCAAAATCATTCAAAGAATCTTTCTTTGACAAATACTTTACAAAACTCTTCAAATAAGTTGTCTTTATTTATTATTACTTTAAATGTTTTGCCAAAGTTAAATGTCAAAGCCATGGGCCTCCTTAATTTCATTTCAATGTAAGAACATAAATCAATGTAATTCACTGTCTTAAGATAATAAAGGACAAAAACCGCATGAATATCCAAATGCAGAAAAAATTTGACAAAATCCAATACACTTTCATAATAAAAATATTCAGTGAACCAGAAGTAGACAGCAACTTCCTCTAACTGATAAAGTACATACAGAGTGGGGCACAAATAGGTTTACAGTTGTTCATATGGAAAATAATACAATAATGAATAAATAATAACACAAGAATAAATTCCGTTTCACATACTTACAACTGTAAATCTACTTTTGCCCCACCCTGTATATGAAAATTCTACAACATAATTATGAAGTTAATAATAGTTACCATATGACCCAGCAATTCCACTCCTAGATACAAATCCCAGAGAAACAAAAACATATGTCCACCCAAAAACACTGTTCCAGCTCTGCATGTAAGGAGCTTAGAAGTCACCACTCTGCCCTAACAAGTAACAAACTGAACAGACCGAAAAAATTAACAACTCTTCTTGGATATATAAGAGGGGAAGAAACAGGGCAAACTTGATGAGATTGTGAATTCAACTGTCATTATAACTCAACCCATACATTTAAATTTTGTTTCATTCCCAGAAATATCAGCTACTGTTAAATAGAGAGCTTACTGTAGGGCTTTGATGGGAGTTTTTGAATTCTCAGACCATGACCTGAGCTGGAAGTTGAGACCTGAGTTTGCCATTTCTCTTCATAAGTGCTTAAGGACACTGAAAATATTCCAGCCAGCACCAGGGTCCTTACAGTCAATATTACTACTAAAGGTGCAGCTGCCACTTGGGCTTTCAAGACACATGCTTCAATTGACACTTCCTCCCAATCAAACACGGTTGATAACTTGATGAATTATGATGCCACTGCATGCCAAGAATTATTGTCCATTTCCCATTGACAAAGAGCTCAGTACTTCACTCAACATTAAAGGCATACTAAAACCAAACCTATATCTTCTGGGACTATCCCTGATACCAATTCCATAATAGTCTAGATCCAATCAGGAGAGAGAAGTTTGAACAAGGACAGTTTGCTATAAAGAATTATTAACTATAACAGAGGATTACAGTAACAAAGAATTAGCTAATAAGAAGTAAAGAAATGCTAAAGAATATAGAAATAGCTAGTATAAGGAACAGCCACTTCCCCTAGGGCTGAGATAGAGCACTCAAGGGCTAAAATCAGACCTTGTTGAAGAAGGTACAACAAAATTTTGGCAAATGGAATCCAGCAACATATACAAAAGATAATAAGTAATAAGGATTTACCCTAGGAATGCAAGTTTGGTTAAATATCCAAAAATAAAAGAATGCAATATGTAATATTAATAAAATAAATAAGAAAAATCATGTAACAGTCTCAGGAAATACAAGGAAAAAAACCCCACTTGATAAAATTCAATACCAATTCATAATAAAAATTCTTAACCAACTAAGAATAAAATGCAACATTCTTAAACTTATAAAGGGCATCTACAAAAAACCTACAGTTAACATATTTAATTGTAAAAGTCTAAATGATTTCTACCTAAAATCAGAAAAAATAAGTGAACTGCTTTTTTCAAATTTCTATTCAACATCATAACCAGTGTAAAAGAAAAAAAGAAAAAAAGCACACAGATTGGAAAGAAAGAAGTAAAACTGTCCTGATTCACAGATGAAATGATCATGTATGTAAAAAATCCTAAGGAATCTGCCAAAGACCCCAATAACTAATAAGTTAATTTATCATAGTTGCAGGATACAAGACCTAAATAAATAGAGATATTCCATGATTAGGCATGAAAACAATATTGTTAAGATGCCGATTTTCTCCAAATCTGTAGAATCAAAGAAATCCCAATTAAAATTCCAGTACGTTTTTATAGAAATCAATAAATTAGTTCTAAAATTAATGTGGAAAGGACAAAGTATCTAGACTAGCCAAAACAACTTTTACAAAGAACAAAGACAGAACACCTGATTTCAATACATATAATAAAGAGACAGTAACCACTGCAATATAATATTTGCATAAGTATAGACATGTTAGGTTAATAGAACAGGATACAAAGGCTACAAATAGACTCAGAAAAAGTCAGAATTTCAACAAAAGTGCCAAAATAATTCAATGGGATAAAAAAGTCTTTTCAATAATGTAGGAACAAAGGTTCTCTATGGAAAAAAAAATAAATTTTGACCCTTTGCATACACACAAAAAAATCATTCAAAATGGATCAGAGGCCTAAACATAAGAGCTAAACTACAAAACTTCTAGAAGACAAAAAGGCAGAAAATCTTCATGGTACTGATTTAGGCAATACTTTTTTTAAAATTTTTTATAGAAACAGAAAAGAATAAACCACTTAAAAATTAGCAAATTGGACTTCAACAAAACTGAAACCCTTTTTCATCAAAAAAGATCAGGTAAGAAAATGGAAAGACAAACCACAAATTGAAGGGAGAAAGGGAGGGAGAGGGGCAGGCAGGCAGGCATGCATGGCCTGAGTCTGGTCATAAAGAAACATCAAGCATACCCAGGTTGAAGTTCAACACAAGGAATGAAAAATCCATATACTTTAAGACTTGCATGGCCGTAAAATATGGAAGGGGGCAGGGGGATATGGAAGCGTTGCAGATTAAAGAAGAAGTCTAAAATAGGACAACTAAATGCAATATGCATTCCTGGATAGAATTTTGGACCAAAAAGGAAAAGGAGACACTACAGGGATAATTGACAACATCTGAGTAGGGCCATCAATTCATAGTTTGAGGTAGTGTACACTGACACAGTCCTGACTGGGAGAGTGAATGGTGATTGTATAGGAAAGTGTCCTCACTTTGGGAAGATGCACACTGGAGTATTTAGCAGTAATGGGGCACCATGTCTGAAAAAACCTGTATGTATAGGGAAAGAAAAGGTGAAGGAACAACACATGTGGTAAATGTAAACAACTAGAGAATCTGAGTGAAAGGGACTCAGGAATTCTTTCCGCTGCCTTTGCACCATTTCCCTATGTTTGAAATTATTTCAAAATTGTTTAAAATGTAACAATAAATATATCAACTGATAAATACGTAAGTGAAGAGATACACCACTTTTATGAATGGAAAACTCAAAATAATACCTAAGCTGAGCTAATGACCTGTATGAAGTCAGTTAATAAGTAGTAGAGTTAAACATTCACTGTCAATCACTTGTTCAAAAACCTTCAATGGCTCCTCATTATCCACATAATAAAGAGGTTATATTAAGTGAGAAAAAGCCTGCAAAGTACCTCATTCATCATCCAGTACACTAGTAGGAAGTAAACACTTTCTAGTATCCTTTTAAAATTCTCACTTGGGTATTTAAAGACCATCATAATGTGGCCACAATTTGTATTTTCCTTCTTTTTTATTTATTTATGTATTCCATACATATTTATTGTCTTTTCTGCCTCAGTCACTATATTAGTTCCTTGTGTGTGTGGAGGGGGGGGGGAACGGACAATAAAGAAAATAATTACCCTTTTTGGTGCTTTGGTAAAACCATCAACCAGCCAAATCTGTCACTCACCATTCTGAAACAAAGTTTTCCTGCATCTAAGTGTTTATCAAAACACTCCACTTATTCATTCATTTCCCTATTCAATAAATATTCCTTAACTACATCCCCAGCTATCAGAACTGTACCTAGTTATTAAGGCGTATTTCAGATGCCTCTTCCTCAGGGAAACTTCTTTGATGATTTCAAGAAAAATAAACGGATGACTCTTTGTTCCTCTTGTGATCCTAATCACATTTAGACTTTTTAAATCGCACTTATTTCGACATAGCATTTTAGAGCAAAAAAGATACCATGTTTGGCAGACTCCCATGCTGACAGTGTATACAGGCTAGTAAAGAATCTAGGTGTAAAGGGAGTGGTGAGAGCCTTGGCCAAGCAAGGAACGCATGGCCCCCACAGGCCTTCAAACCCACGTTCTTCTTCAAACCGCGCGCGCTAAGGTAAACATCTTCGCACTGGGTTTCTCTTACGTAGCTTGTTTGAGGCCCTACCCTGTCTCCTCGGTTCACACGCAAGGAAACAAGATCCAAGCAGGAAATGGCTTGGCCAGCGCGTCGCAAAATTGTTGGCAGAAGCAGAAACAACTTAGGGGGTCCCAGATACTGTTTTCCACTTTATTTAATCTCCCAAGGTATTCAACCCTGAGCTTCTCAGGGGTTGTTGACCAGACAACAGTAATGTACTCAACACTGCTGTCTCCGGCTGGCTATGTGGAGGCCAGGCCCCTGTCAACCGCACTGTGAGGGGTAACCGTGTCGATACGGTGCTTGATGACAGGAGCCCAAACCCGAGGCGGCCGCCCATTTAGCCAGCTTTGATCCCGGTCACACCCTGCCAGCGCTCGGGAGGGCAGCGGCCTCAGCCTGGCCCACCGGGCGCCTCTCGGGCCTACCCCGCCTGGACAAGCCCTGGCGGCCCCCGCTTCCCTCGCCCCCACACCACGCCCTCAGGCTCACCCTGAGCGACCAGCAGGATGCAGTAGAAAATCATGAAGCATCGGATGTTATTAAAACGCTGGCAGGAAGTGCAGCCCAAACTGCAGAGCCCCTGCAGATTTTCAGGCTGTTCTTCCGGCTTGTTGGTGATGGGCACTATGGTCGTAGCCTTGTTTCTTCTCTTTTTTTTTAACTGGTGTAGCCTGACCAGGCTCGGTGGAATAAGCTTCATAAACCAGGTACTTTTCCTGGGCCTGCGGCGCTTCGTGGGCGCAGGGCT